ACACACACACACACATTCAGACTCAGGGCGAATACAATACCATCCCTGCTGTCATGGCTGCTAATTAAGGCTTTTAAACCTGCTGTCAACATGTCCTCTGCTGTGAGTGATAGAAGTTATGAATGTATGTGATCTAAAGTTCCAGAGGAGACAACTTCTGAAGAGGAGACATAGCGTGACAGGAAGGCGCCTGTGCTTCTGTTATATTCTCTTTGAAGAGATGACGGTTAAGTCATGTCGTGACAGGCTTTCTTCCCCAGGGGAGTCAAGATTAGAAAAGACAGTTTTCCTTCATGGTATTTACTTTTTAAAGACACCGTAGGGAAATGTACACAATCACTGTGGTAACATATGCATACTGTGTTTTATTTATGATAAGCTACACCTGCATTTTATATGCTGGGCTCCAACTCTTTAAATCTTATATACGAGACGAGACCTGTGGTTTTCACTCCAATAATGTATCTGACAGTAAAAGTTATTTTTGTTCTATAGTCCCTCTTCTCCCCTTGCTCTCTGACCTGTGGTGTGGTGTCGACCAGAGACCCTCAATTGTTTTCATTTTATCCAAATATACAGATTTCATGATCACAAGTTATTCCTAATGCTTTTTACGGATGTCGTGGATCAGTTGGGTTCACCAGTCTGTGACTGCCACAAAATGATGAATCGCAGTCTCTGGGTTGAAGGTTAGTAGCTGACCCAAGTAAAGAAGTTTAAGTATCTTGGGTTCTTGTTCAGAGTGGGTGAAGGATAGATGGGTTGGTGCATCATCAGCAGCTGTAATACCAGACTGTTGTAAAGAGTTGGAGGTTTTTCTGGGCACACCCAACTGGAGGAGTCTCCAAGGTAGACCCAAGACTCACTGGAAGGATCACATATCCTGTCTGGCCTGGAAACACATTTGGATGCCTGAGGAGAAACTAGACGAGAGAATAGAAAGGGAGAGGGATTTCTGAAACACCAAACTTAGCCTGCTGCCACCACAACCTGACCTGGGATAAGTGGAAGAAAAAGGATGGATGGATGGATTATTTTTCATTTTGATGATACTCAAGTTTATTTTCTACTAAAACCTTCCAATGTGACAAAGGATTTTCATGTAGCCTCTTCATCAAATTATTTTTTTTCTAACAATAAAAGGGATCTTATTTAACACTAAAATAATACCATACTATCCAAGGGTATGGATGATAACCTTTTTGGGCTGGATGGCTTCATGAGATATAACCTCAAAACATAATGTACATCCAGCAAGTCTTTCCAGGAAAAATAATGTGAACAACACATTAGAACAACAGAACCAAAAAATGCTTGGAAAATTTGACTTTATTTCTTAAAGAAAATTACACAGAAGAAAAGCTTGTTGCTAAACACATGCAGCATAATTCTTGAATAGAGTGAAAATGCAGCATTTTAAAGTGCCTCATTTCCACAATACTTGTGAAAAATAATCCTGCAGTTGACAGTGGACAGAGGATGATGGCTGCTGAAGGTTTACACAAGTCTACAATAAGTTATTGTTAATCTTGACAACTACAAGGTGAAGCAGATCATTCCTCAGAACTGTTTCATTCTATGCAGATGATCATATCATAATGTGATTCACTATTGAAACAGTTTTCTTAGTAAAGAGCTATTTTATGATCATCTCAGCATTTTTATGTTAACTCAAGTAAGAATATATAAAACAGATATTCAGTCCTAATCAGGTTAAAGGTCATGTCTGGATGTGAAGGTGGAAGGAAGAGTCGTGCTTCCTTTTCATTTCTGTCATCGACTTCACGCCTTTGCTGGCATCTGCAAAAGATAAATGAGAAATTTTAAGCAAATCCTTTATTTCCTATACATTCAATTTAATGTGACATTTTCCGTTTACACATTAAATGCCAATACAGCTTTGAGTAAAATGCATTGTGATATATTGATTGATAATTACCTGACTTGTTTGTGGGGGCTGGTCCTGGAGAGGCTGCAGAGGATCCTGGGATGGCAGAGGGTTGGCATCAAATGATGGAATCTGAAAAAAAGAAGAGCAATTTTTATTTAATGGAAGTAAAGAGAAGACTCGCAATTAATCAATCGAAAATTTTAAAAGCTATTTAAAAAACAATTTTCTCTCACATTCAAGCCTTGCTGGGGAATATTGGGAATATTTTGAGGAGGGTAATCAAAGGGAAGAGTCTGTGGGAAAAAAACAAATTCAGGTGGTGAATAAAAAAATTTCCACAGCGAAACAAAAAGCAGTTAAGGGAATCATGGTTGATATGAGTTGATAAATTCTCTCTCTCTTTTTTTTTTACCTGAGGGACGTTCGTCATTGGTGGGATGTTTGTAATTATCTGAAACAAAAATACTCAATTAGTACTGTAAAAGTATTTCATATTTACATTATGTAGAATCCAATATGTCAAAAGTTTGAAATGTTTACCCTCTGCTGAGAGAAGTCATAGGGGTAGTACTGCAAAAACAGAAACATATCAATAAATGTAGTTGTTG